ACCTCACTGGCTCTCTTCTGTTAATGTGCCCCAATGCAGCTGTGGCTACAGTGTAGCACGTCACCACCAGTTTGTGAATGGGTGAATGACTGACGGTGGTGTACAGCACTTTGGGGTCCTCTGACCTAAAAAGTACCATAAAAGTACAGGAGATTAACGATGCCTAATATTTTGCCCCTTTTTTGTATAGCTTATTTATGTAGCATGTTTTGATGCTTTCCCTTCTCTTCAGCAATGGCAGAAGAACAAGCTGCCACCACACAGTAAACATCAGTTTAAACGGCCCTTATAAACAATGGTTGCCAACATCAGCCACTAACAGCTTAAAGCGAAGAGGACCGTTCCGACAGCGAAGGCCGTGGTTTATGGAGCCAATATGTGACGAAGGAAATACGATGTGCTCTTCCTCGGGATGTGACTCCAAACCAGCCAAGCAATCCTATCTGTGGTGCAGTCTTTTACCTATATTCGTCAGAGTATTTGTACTAGGAATTCAAGTAATTGACCTTTTATGAAGTTTGAATGTTTCTTTGTTGACTGTGCTTAGATCTTAGACCTGCGTGTGCTAGTGTGAGCTCCTATTTTATGTACTTTAGTTTTTTTTGTGCAGGATAATGTGCTGTAATGGTTTTTACGTGCAATATATCCCTTAATTTACATTTGCACGATTGTGCAGAGTTGCACGCACACCAAAAAGAGCATAAGAAGACTGGAAAAGTGGAGTCGAAAGGCTCGTGTTACTCTCTAACCCGGCTAGGAAGAAAAGCAGCTATAAAGGAAGGGTGAAGAAGAGTGCAGTGGCTCTGTTATCTTGTAGCTTTTCACTAAAGTATGTCACCGACATTTAAGACCTCAGGAATTTGTGTCGGCTTGTGAAAAATAGGCCTAATATGTCTCCTTTATGTGCTATTTATTCAAAGGACAGAACAAGCGGTAGAGGTAGTGTGAGATAGGTGTGTTAGGAGAGGAGGTGTTCTTTAAGAGAAGAGTCTTTAGGAGATTCATGAAGGCAGAGAGGGAGCTCCCAGCTCTGATAGCATTTGGCAGCTCGTTCCACCAACAGGCAGCCACAAATGAGAACGGTCTGTACTCAGGCTGCCTCGAGTGTAGGGTTGGCAGCACCTGAGAGGAGCACATTATCATGTCTTTATGTCTCTAAATAATAACCCCACTAAAAACAATCTGGACTCTTTTGGAAATGTTGCTACACTAAAATTTAATTCCTCGGTCACGATTCTTCCACATGACTTTGGAAAATTCCCATGTGAAGTTTTGTACCTCAGGTCTAAAATAAGCCTGATAAGTGTGATAACTTCTGTTCAATTTACTCGTCCAGGAGCCTCTTTTCAGTTTGAATATGGCTCATCTCTGGAAGCAGGGCTATAAAAACATCTTTACATTTATGTCTGTGTTAAATGTCACTTAGGGCTGACGGCAAACGCCTTACAAGGCAGTGAAGAAAGCATAGGTTAAGGCAGTGGTTCCCAACCTTTTTCCCAAGGGACCCCTTTTTTACCAGTAAAATTTTTGACGGCCCCCTCCCATTCTCTCTTCCAGTACAAACATTATTAAGAAATGATAAAACTGTTCAAGCACATTTTAATATGCTTTGATTCAATAGATAACAATAATAGTAGGCTCCAGTACAGAACAAAGTCATTAACAAAACCAAACAGAGCATAATGTGCTTGCCAGTTTGTATTACTTTTCTGAACACATTGTTTCTTGTAAACACTGATAAATCAATCATTCAACAAACGTTTGACACATAAAAAATACACTGAGCAAAATGTACTTAAATGTGTATATTACTGTTTATACTAGATTATTTACTGTAAACGCTGTGATTAATCAACCAGTCCTATCTTTAATGAACTTTTGACACTTGAAAATAAAACAGTGAGCTGAGCAAAATGTTCTTAAAAGTGTGTTACTTTTTCTGTACTAATTATTTCCTGTCTTAATACCAGTAAACTTTTCACTCATGAAAAAAATTGTGAGCAAAATGTAGGCTATAAACGAGTAATAAATGAAGTTTTAACCCCTAAAGTGGAGAGGTCCTGGTGACCCACTGAGAGGCTTTGGCGCCTCCTTGTGGGGGTCGGGACCCCCAGATTAGGAACCACTGGGTTAAGGAATAGAATCAGCCACACGGAGCTAAGGTTAGTCAGGTATAAAAGGCAGGCTGATGTCACATCAGTGCTTTACATTAACAGATACATTTTTCAGGATGCCTTTGTTGGGTCTGGCACACCTAACCCTATAGATCGTGCTTAGAGGACCAGATGATTGATTAGCAATAATACTCTCACGCAGTTAAAACATGGCTAGACTTCATCAATTGTAGCTCATTTTAAATCAAAACAATAGTTGCATCATATGCCTTTTGTTGAGAGTTTAAGGTGTATTATGCTTACAATTATCATACCAAACACAATTCCAACAGTTTTTGCTTTTCACTAAATACATAACGAAGTTCACTTCAGTTGTTTTTTTTTTACTTAAAGGGGCCATATCATGGAAAATCTTCTTTTAGTAGCGTTTTACCCTGTTATATTTTCATTTCCTCATGAGAACTATCCCCAAACCCATTTTTTGGCTGCATTAATGCATTTTCCTGCCTCAGCTTCAATTTGGTCGATGTAAAGATTTTTCCTGATCCAGGAGAAAGTAGCTCACTTGCGTCACCAAAAAAATTTCCTCTCCCTGAATCTGGTCTCGGTTCTGAAACCTGGATATTCTATTGACATTCTAACAAATGACTTCTGCATTGGGGACAAAACACAAAATAAAAACTGTGCATCCTGTCTACAAAGATGCACGTAACGGTCAGCTCAGGATATGTGTGTAGGGCGACTATTGCTTTGCAGCAGACTTGGTGGTCCAGTGGTTAGAGTGCCAGGCGTGTGTACGGGGGGTATGGTATGACTGGGCCAGTGCTTTTAATTGGTGTGGGACGGATAGGAATGGGGTCATGTAGGGTCATTTTAATCTGTAAAGCACTTCGAGTTGCATTCTTGTAGTAAAAGTGCTTTATAAATAAAGTTTGATTGATTGGCAGCAACTTTTCTTCTTCTTTTTAGCTACACTTGCAAGTATGATGTTTTCAACCCTTTATTGGTAAACAGTTTAAAATATATGGACTAATCTTTGCTTTTTTACCCCCAAATTCCACTACCTCTGCTCCGCTCCGACACGAACGCCGGAGCAAAATCGGTCCCGTTCTAGTCAATCAGAGCAATTCCACTACTGCGGCCGTGCTCCGGCAGTGCGGCCCTCTGTTCCGGCGTCCGGCAAAAATAGAATCGATCCTATTTTCGCTGGACGCCGGAACACCTCCGCAGTAAATGGACAGAAATCACAAACGCCCAACAGGAAAAGGAGCAAGCACAACTTCCGTTTTTCACAATACATCGATAAACAAAAGGCGTTTTTTGTTTCATATGCACATGTTTAACAACTTTTAACAACTATCAGTGGCGGCTGAAGTTTAAATGCACAAAAGTAAGCCATAAATACAGTTTCCACTATCAAAGTAGTCACACTTTGTTGATCCAAACACTGCTGATCTCTCAACACAAATGATGGGCAGATTAAACAGTTCATTTCGATGCTTCTCCCACACAACGGGTGTTTGGATCTAACTTCCGCGTTCATTGCTCGGACTGTATCGCAAGATCTCGAAAATCCCGCGCATGCTTGTTTGCCCACCTCAGGTCTCTGCACCGGAGCGGAGCCGTTGTAGAGCGGGTAGCAGTAAAAATTGAGTTCGGAAGCGAGCGGCTGCGGAAGGCGGGGGCGGACCGGAGCGGAGCGGAGGTAGTGGAATTTGGGGGTTAGCCAGTGTGAGTCCATGTGAGGTGAGCTGAGCATCCGCTCAAGGGCTGCTTGGAAATGACCAAATTCAAAGATCTTTAGATACACAAAATAATGAATCAATAAAACTAAAATACAAAAACATGAGATCTGCTTCAGCTGGCTAAGTGAATGACTACCAAGACTAGTGGGAGTAAAACCGGTGTTAGCTAATGGCAAAGTGAGACAAAGGCAGGTACTTAAACCACTGGACTACCAAGGCCAACACAACAGCATTCTTGCCTATGACGCTGTTGTGGGTGCGTTTTGTCAGAGTGGGCGTGTGCGGAGCTTTGCTAAAAGGAATCGTTTCAGTTTTGAGTATTAATTCAGGCTGATGAAAGTAACTCATATTTAGGATGAATGACATTTTAATAGTGCCAACGACAATATTTGATCAGATATTATGCTTACCTTTGCTCTCAAAGGTTTAAAATAGCAATATATGGAACCGTGAATAAGCTAATTTCTCTTGTGTGGTGACTATAATGAACTTTTACAGTAATTTGGAGAATAAGATCCACTCTGTGCTCCGATGCTTTCATGGTTTGTGATCACGTAATGTGAAAATCTTTCATAGTTTAGACATTTTTACTTTACAAAAATAGTAACTGTTAATATTAGGAATACATCAGCTGACCTAACTTTGGTAGAGACCAAAAAGACTCACACTTTTCTCCTGGAGGCTTGTTTGTTTGTTTGTTAACTTTCTTTAAAGACACTGACTGGTATTGTGTCATGTTTAAAATCTGACTCCTGCTGCTGCAGTAACAGAAACAGATAATAAGTGAATGTACTTGGTGACGCTGAAGATCGATTCTTTGTTCAAACATCTTTGCATTTCATGGGCTTTTTCAAAATAACTTACATGTCTAGAATCATCATTTCAAATCTTTAACATGTCATTTTTTTCCAATAAACATGCATTATTAAAAAATCCCGTGTGCCACACGTGTACAGGAAGCACAAGCAACATAGCAACAGTAACATGCTGAACATGAAGCGGATGGACGAACGGTCAATTAGCCTCGTATGAAAGGCTTCTTTAGAAGAGAAGACTCAAAGAGGGAAGGATTTTTCTTTCCCATTGAAATCTGGATGATTACCGAATTCACACGGGCTTTTAAATACTTCTGTTCTCTAACCTTTAGCCTTTAGATCAGGCAGCGGGTCAAGCAGTGAGTGCTCAGCCATTATCTCCTTGTCAATGGAGTCCTGGAAACACATGGGACTGGTATACGTGCGCGACACCGTTAGATCAGGTTGCATGGATGAGTTAATAAGCAGAGGGTTGGCTGAAAAACACAAAAAGAAAAGAAGAAAATTACTGACAGCAACTAAAACTGAGAACATTTCTGCACATTGACACTCAAAACCAGCATGTAGCTATTACCCGCATTTAAAGTTAGAAGGGCATGTCGAGACAATTATTTTTTTATCCTTTGTGAATAAGGCTGTAATTTCCTCACCATGGAAACAAGAATGGCATACCACTTACAGAAATAATGTCTTGACTAAAAGCAGCAAACAACAGCAGCAGGGGTGGTATGTGACTTTTAGCTTTCAGAAATAAAGATTCATGAAGTTATCATCCAACTATTTATATCTTTCATTTTCAACTTAGTGGCAAGGCAAGCATTGGTGACATAAATCCATCATATATTCAATTATATTGGTGAAATAACAGAAATAACCATGTTATTATGAGATATGATTATTGATCTGGCATCTGTGAGATGAAATGTATCGTAAAACTTGACGATTTATTTATTGAACACTAAATTACAACAGACGTCTATTTGCTCGATACATCAAGCTGTGTTCCTCATGTTCCTACTAAATGTTTATACCTTGATCAAGAATACAATTTATAGGCAAACATTCAGCTGTCTACATCTAATTACTAAGAGTTTTGTTTCTCCCACACACTCCGAATGCATCACGGCTCGCCCCGCCTCTCATGTGGAAAAATCTGGGAAACGTTTACGATGGCAGGGAGAATGGCTCAGTAGAAGCTAGCAAACGTCCAGAGATAGCAAACTAAAGGATGATGACAATTAGCAGTGGATCCAAGAGTGGCTTTGGATTTGGAAAGAATACTTGAATCAAACATAACTACTAGTTTTGATGTTTTTGTGCAGAAACAGGATGAGTTTCGTGTGGCTCTGACATTCACCGGCGACTATTATTTTACTGACAGATGGTTGGCCTTTAAAACTAAGTATTATTTATTATTGGATAAAGGGGTCAGAGGATGGACTTTTTATTAATACCATCAAGTGGTGAATAAATTGGTTGCTAAACTAATTTATTCTGGTACCACTGCTTGTGTCAAACAGTGGTCAGAATATAATTTCATCACCTTTGAAGCCAACAAGTATTTAATTTTATATTCTAAGAAACCTGGATCAAATTTAATAATAATGTTTAAAAAGCCAGTCATTGAACATTTGGCTGATATATTTTTGTTTTATGTGTGTTGCTGATGTCTGGGTACTGCAATGTGATTATTGATCAGAAGGATTGGCACTTTTCTGCTTGCTGTAGGAATCATACTTTAATCTGTGCTGCAAGACAAGATGTCATGTCTTGATTTGCCTTTTTGCCTATTTAGGACTATTGAGGGATTTTAAACATGAAGGCTTCACTAACTGTGCATTGGATAGGGAACACCATGGTGAGTTAGGGTTAGCATCATCGTCTGCTCTTTTCTAGAATAGCGAGATAATCCTTACACACGATGGCTCACTCACTGGTAGGGATGGGTACTTTTGACATTTTAATCGATCCAATACTAATTCCCGGTACCTACGAATCGATACCGGTACTTAACGGTATCAATTTTCGATACTTTTGAGCGTTTATTATTTTAATTCTCTTTTATAATTAAATATATATTTTTCTCAATATATAACAATATTTGATAAATATCACGATAAATAACATTCAACTGTTTGTATTTTAACATCGTCCTTGTAGTTTTATAAGCTGATTATTAAACTGAAGCAAACATCTTTACTGTGAACTAAATTTACTGTGTATCTTCATTCCTTTTGCCGTCTTTTTTCATTTGATTTTTCCTACTGGGAAGTTAGAATTTCCGAGGAGAAAGCGAACGCACCATTAGCTGATAACAACGGTGGCAATGGAAGCTAACTTATCAAGCTAACGTTATCTTAAACAGTTTATTTAACTGCTGGAGCAGATTAAAACGATGATGCCTCACACTTAAATCGTTGTCGCTGGTTTCTTCTTCACCCAATCACCCGTCGCATTTAGTAAAGTGAAGCCAAACTTTAGAGCGCGTTCATGTTCTAGGCGGAAATTCGGAGTTACGAGGAGAAAGCGAACGCACCATTAGCGAAACGGAAGCTAACATATCAAGGTAACGTTATCTTAAACATTTTATTTACCTACTGGAGCAGATTAAGATGAGGATGTCTCACTTAGATCGTTGTCCCTGGTTTCATCATCACCCAGTTACCCATCACATTTAGTGAAGTGGACCCAAGCTTTAGCGTGTGTTCTTTCTACCCATGCTGCTGTTTATAACTCGCTCGCAGGGACCGACGACATAACGCTCTTGCGCATGCGCAGCTGTCTTGGCAAGTTCTCGTTATGATGGACGGGTACCGAAACGAGGCACCGTTTCAAATGACGTGAATCGGTGCTCGGTTGGTACTATGGAATTCGGTCGGTACCTTAAAAAGTACCAAATTTGGTACCCATCCCTACACTGGTATATGTGTCCATCCATAAAATTATCCTTATTTATCCGGTCTTTAAACAAGGAAACATTTAAGATTGAATCTAAGATTTATGGACCTTCAACGACTTTTTCCCCCAAAGTAAGAACGCTTTTAAGTTTACATTTTCTGTTTTCTGTGAGCAAATGTTAAAGTCTGATGTTTGGTTTTATTGCACTGATGCTGCTGAGGTCAAGTCTCCCATGTAAAATCTGACTAACCTGCTTAATGTGAGGGTCAATGCATGGGTGAAGATGCATTTCATCCACACTTCCTGTTAGGAAAACCCTTCTGAAAGAGGCACCGCCTTAGCAGCTCGAGAGAGCGGCACTGAGGCAGTGATAGACGGTACCCATCCCCCGTATACGCTGTCGGAGTTTCTCAGTCTAAACATGAGCGCGTGCACGCAAGCTCGCACTCACAGTAGACTTGCCGCTCAGGAGAAGAGCAGACAGATGTTGCAGCATTGCCGCGATCATTAGATGAAAATGGGGAGGAGGGAATTTTTTTTCAAGGAGGCGAACGGCTCCAAGCGCCAGCGTGCCATATCAGCAGGTGATGACCCACACTTGTATAGCCTCAGAGCAAGGACTCCAAAGCGCTTTACACTACAGTGTATCGTTCATCCATTCACACACACATTCACACACTGATGGTGATGAGCTACGATGTAGCACACTGACAGAGGCGAGGCTGCCGAGCACAGGCGCCACCGGTCCCTCCAACCTTCACCAGCAGGCAAGGTGGGTTAAGTGTCTTGCCCAACTACACAACAGTAGAATTCTCTGTCCGGAGCCGGGATCGAACCTGCAACCTTCCAATTACTGGACAACCCGCTTAACCTGTTGAGCTAGTGCTGCCCGTTGAGCCAGGTGGAGGTGCGGCTGCCTCACCTGGAGACCAGTGCAGTGCAGTCACATAGTAATTTGCTGACGTCACATTTTTCAGCTTAGCCATCAGCCACAGCTGATTCCACATGAATGTGGAGCAGAGTTTTAACCTGAAGATGGAGATGTAATTACGGTTTTGGGCTAAAATATTTAATTTTAAGTAAGTTGCACTAAACTGCTACACTAATGATTGCACATGTCTGCAGCACCATTAGACACTCATCTATACAGTTTATCAGCATAAAAAAAGTTAATTTAGGCATTACTTGCTCTTTAAAAGGGTAAAGAAAATGAAGAAAACAAGCCCAAAAAACTGCTCATTACTACAGAGAACAGCCAAATGGAAATTTTTCATTTTATTATATCATGCCATAGTGTTACCCCAAACATTTGGACAAAGATTGACCAATATATATATCACATATCAGGATAAAGGCCCAAAATATCGCAATTTTTATTTTGGGCCATACCACCAAGCCAGAGTTCGAGTAATGTTAAATAGGTAAATAAATATATAATTGTAAAGAAAACAAAAACAGCTGTCTTCTGTAAAAGCTACATGTGAATTAGAAGGACATGCAGGATATTATAAAGGTTTGGCTGCTTTAGATTTTCCAACACGAGGAACGGAGACCAAGATCAAAGCGTTCCCCTGCATCCTGCGGTGTTATCAAAATGAACTTTATTATGGCTCGCTGAGGGCTCCCGCTGAGGCCCACCATAATGCCTGCCTTGTAAAAAAAAAAAAAAATGCCGCAATCTGTTGGGCAAAACATAGCAAGCTGCACGGCTCTGATGTTCCTGTGAATGGAGACGAGGGACCTCATGCTTTACTTCTGGGCTCTGTGGAAATAAAATAATAAACCCTACTAATGAACAGCATTTTTAATCTGATAATCATCAATAATTGTTTGAAGTAATTTAAACATAATAACTGACAATCTTGTATTTAGGAAGATAAACTTCTTTGTTGTTAGAAGATAATTCACAAAAACACACTTTCTGCTTGTTACAATTAGTTTTCAGCCAAGTTTGATTATTTCTGACGTTTCCGCTGCGTGCTCACATAGATGACAATATTTAATTATTGGACGTTTGCACTGCAGCTCAGACTTCACGAACCTCCAGAAGGTTCAAATAAACAAACTGAAAAATTTAACACAGTCATTCTCATACTGGCTTTGGAAGCTTGTTAATAATTCAAGCTCATTAGTTATGTCATAATACAAAGACGTGAATGCATAATTTATAAAAATTACATAAATGTATAAAGTACATTAGCAGAAATAAATGACTTGCTGCTTTGATTGCTGTATTTATTTATTTTTGCAAATATGATCTCAATGTTTAAATCTTTTTTTCTTCTAATTTAAAAAAGATGACAAGCCAAAAGAACAAAACGACCGAATTAAGTGTTTGGTAAAGTTGGGGTAAAAAAAGCCAACAGAAACACATTTTTTTGTGTTTTGTAAATAAAATAAAATAAAATAAATAAATAAAACTGCAGTGTCGCTGAATTGATTTGTCCCTGAAAGGGTCAAGTGGTGCGTATTTATGAAAGTTCCCTCTCCAAGTGCTCTTGTTTTGAATTACTGTACAACATCAACTCACAGCAAAGTCAAGTAGGTCATTTTGAAGATTTTTCTTAAAATGGCAGAAATATAATAATTTGTAAGCATTTAGAATTTTTGTTAAATAGCTAAAATAAATTTATTTTGATTGTTAAAACAAAAAAGATAACACTCCACAATAAGGGTCCTTTTATTAACGTTACTTAGTGCAATATTAAGCATTAATAAATTATTTAATAAAGTATTAACAACTGCATTAACCATATTATGTAATGCATTACTAAGCAGACACACACACACACCCTGACCTTTGTCCTAACATTAAGAACACTTAATAGCTAACGATAGCGGGAATGTTAAAAAAGGGACCCTTTATTAATGCTTAATAATGCATTAAGTACCGTTAATAAAGGAAGCCTTGTTATAAAGTGCTACACCCCCAAGAATAACAATCATGTGAACAGGGGCTGAAGTCTTTATGATTTAAATCCTAATTAAACACAAAGCAGCTTAAAAATAACCAATCAGAAAAAAGGAGGAAATGACGATTGTATTGTGCAACACTGTAGTTTTTTAGCTGTAGTCAAAAACGGCATCTGGTGACATCGCAAACACCTTCCTTTAGAAGAAAGGCGTTTAGCGCTTTCATTTGCTTACAACAGAGATCTAAAACAAAGGGCTGTTCGTCTACAAGTATTTGCTTGTAAAATAAGGCCCGATTTACACAGACATGCCTGATTACCGCAATGGCTCTGAATATAATCTTGTCAGATAATCCTACCATGTGAGGTGTGTTAAGAGCACTTGGGTCTGCTTGCAAGGACATTGGGACCGCTCCGATCAAGAATCAGGGCTACCTAACCTGTTGGATTGTCTCGTCTTGATTTGTAGGACAAACAAACGTTTCGCCTGTTGAATGTGACGTGTAACCAGTCATAAAGTGAGGTGATGCTTTCTGCTTCTGCCAGGTTGTTTACGCCAAAGTCAAGTTTGATCTCAGGAGGTTCTATGTGATGTTCCATCTGAATGAAGAATGTTAACGGGTGAAATCGCTTCATCTATAGTGTGTAGATGTTGCCTTGTGGCTGCACACCACACCCAGTAGGACCAAAACTGTTATGTCTGTGGTTTTGCTTCTTTCTCACCTGTGCAGTGTGTCACGCTCTAAAAATAATCTAACAATCTGAAAATCCTGCAGTGTGAATCGAGCCAAAGCTACTTTCATATTAGAAAAACATTACATGCCCTATAAAACATTTTAATGGATACACTGCATATTTTTCATAATTTAAATCATTTTCTTGAGCCAGTATGTGCTAAAATGACTCGTTATGGGGTTAAACAAGAGCCACGCAACCTCTATCACCCCCTGTGGCCAGAATATTCCTCTTGCAGCGTCAGACTGGTGGGCCGCTCTGTTAGAAAACATTGAGCTGACATACCTGGAGCTGCAGCATGTTTCTAGCATGTTTTAGATCATGAACACAGCTGATTTGTTTAATTTAGTGATGAATGGCTCCTGTAGACACTAAAGGAAGGCTAGGGAGGCATCCCAGCTGGTAGATTAAGGTGTTAAAAAGACAAATGCACAGCAAAAAGGTAAGTTTTGCTTTCAGTTCTACAACCAGACACTAGGCGGTGCTAAAAGCAATCCAAAACTGGTTCCTAGTTCCCCTTTAACTTAAATGTCATTGCCTTAAAGTTTTATGCCTCAAATAATAATCTGCATTTGCTGTTAAAGAACATGAACACAAATGAACTGAATTCAAATACATCAAAAACACCAAACTGTTTGAGTTAAAGGCGTGCAACACTAAAAACACATTTATTACTGATTATAATCGGTCGCTCTGAGTTTTTCCACACAGGCTGAAATGGTAAATGGCCTGTACTTGTATAGTGCCTTCTTAGGGTTCTATGACTCCCCCAAGGTGCTTCACAACACAATCAGTCATTCACCCATTCACACACGCATTCACAGGCTGGTGGGGATGAGCTACGATGTAGCTACAGTTGCCCTGGGGCGCACTGACAAAGGCGAGGCTGCCGTGCACAGGCGCCACCGGTCCCTCCGACCACCACCAGCCGGCAACGTGGGTTAAGTGTCCACGGATACAACAGCAAAATTCTATGGTCGGAGCCGGGATCGAACCTGCAACTTTCCGATTACTGGACAACCTGCTCTACCTCCTGAGCTACTGCCGTCCCAGGCTGAACATGAAAATGGTCTCCTACACCTACCTCCTGCATTAGCTTCTGATATGAAAATAACAGTGAAACTGTAGGATACTTTTTATCTAGTTTCCTGTGGTTTTAATGTTTGATCTTGTAGTTATTGCTTTATTTTCAACTTGTCATTTTATTGTTTACTCTCATCCATTTACTCATGGCTTTATTTATATTTTGTGTTTTTGATACCATAATTTTTAATATTACTTGGGCATGTTTTATTGCATGGCGTTGTTCTGTTCAGCGCTGTGGGTTGTGTGAGCAACAGGAAAGGTGCTATATAAATAAAGTTGACCTTGACTCACAACGGGGAAGGCTGTTGTTGTTTTAATGTCCGGGAATCAGCGGCGGACTGGTAAGTAACCGTTAGCATTAGCAACACCACCACACAGAAGAAGCTCCTCCAGGCTTGTGTTATTTGTGGAGGCTAAAACATCCACGTTGCAAGTCAGTGGTAGAGTGACGTTGCTGCTATCCAATCTGGGGCGAGATGTCCACATATCGGGACATAAGACTCCAAAACCTGGAGCTCAGCTGTGACGTGGGCAACTAACTGGTCAGAGAAATGGTGCACATATTATTTCTCCTCCCCGGAGAACGACTAACAAGGTGCTAATTACACCTACAGACCACTACAAATGCATTGATTAAATGAGTGAAACCACTCCTTTAAAGTTGGATACCCTGAGACAGTTAAACGCCTACAGTGTAGGCAAATATTGCTGTCTGCCTCCAATGAGCTGCCTAATCTTTAACGAGGATATAGCTCATCAAAATTACTAGGTCTCTGAGCAAATTAGACACACGGGTTTGCAGTCACGAATATGGACTTGGAGAATAGTAGCTGGATCCTGGTGGGAGTCTCATGCCAGGGGCAGGTTTGGTGAGATCATGGGCACAAGAGGTGGAATCATACTTTGGCTCACCTTGTCGAGAAGTCTTGAAGCTGAAAGACTGGAACCCCCCGGTGAGGGCAGAGGAGTCGATGACATCAACTCCGTACTCACTTTGGCTCCGCCGATAAAGCGTGACTGCGATGATCAGCATCACCACGGTTACCACTCCTGCTGCCAGGCCTGAGTACAGGGCCACATCACTGGTTCTCTCCACACCTTAAAGAGGGAAAAGCAAGCCAAAAAAAACAAACAAAAAAAAAAAAACCGTAAAGGCGATATTTTAATTAGGATGCACCAAGATGTTTTTCACCCCATAATCTAAAAATCTTAGGAAAATCCACCAAATTAAAGTTGTGGAAGCCTTTTGTCAGAGCCAAGTCTACCAAGGTTTTAAACTCCATTAGTACCTTTTTTGTTTTCTATCCCTCGTCTGCCTCCTGATACACAACTTGATTGTTCAACTATGCAGTGTTAAGGCTACTAATGAGCACCCTCGCAAGGAAGGCGATTTTAATCAACCCAGCACCTGACTGTCATTTCAAACACTGCTTGGCTCTGGCGTTGGAGGCACTCTGTGCTCCACTGGGATAATGTGACAAAACCAATTCATTAAATTAGCTCATCGGCGACGATTATGCTCTATCTGCTCCCGCCAGTATTGCGGCATCCAACTCCACAAAGAAAAACGAATGAGTGGGAAACAGAGGCTGCTAGCTTGTTCTTGAAAGATAATGAGATCTGCACTGAAACGGGACGTGCTGAGAAATCCTCTAAGTAGCCTGAAGCTCAAATGAAGGGAAAAAAATGGACAAAATATGCAAAGCGGTCTTAACAGTTGCAGGTTAATTGGGGGCTTGGGAAGTTTTGGCAGCTGGAACAGATTTTTCTTACCCTTCCTGACAAACAAAACTACAGATCTTTGTTAAGGACAAGAAAGGAGAACGTCTGCTTGTGGCATGGTAGGTATCAAACTGACACTTTAGCAAATGACCCATTTCCCTAAACAGCAATTAAACACCAGGCAGGTTAGACCTGAAACGCCGCACACGAGGACATGAAGAATAAGGGAGTAATTAGCTGATTTCTCTTTTAATTTTTGATGAAAAGGTTTTCTTCTTATAAAGACGTGTTACTCGAATTAAGTTATTAATGGATCCAGCTAGACTCAGGGGCAAAAACATTGTAGAGAGTAGCTTCACTTAGCCTTGATTATAAATTCTTAATGATTGGATAATGAGATTACGCAGTCGTAGGGTGCTAATTCAGAGTTTTAAAATAAAATTGATCCAAAGGGCTGACCCGGTCACTTTTAAATAATAACCCTGATGATGATGCTTCATAATTAAGGGGCCATTTTGAAGTGTTCTACTGGATAAATGCTATGAATGATTTATGTCCTACTCTTAGATAGCTTCCCAAATGGGCTCGTTTTGGAGAAATCCATTACAGTAATGACAAGACGAAATCTCTAAAGTGTCAACACAGTTTGTGTAAATATTATTTTATAAACCTTTACACCATTTTACGTGGAATGTTGTTTACATGCAAGAATATCGGCAACAGCAACAACATGTAAGCTCATTTGGTAAATCCAGAGGCCGAGTTCTGCAGGAAAGTCCCAACTTTATGTTTATGTTTATGTATTTAGCAGACGCTTTTGTCCAAAGCGACTTACAAATGATAATCGGCATATTGCCCTTGAGGCTAACAACAATAACAACAACAACTTGACATCAGTCATGGAAAGTAGGGAACAAGGAGTGGACAGTAGAGAGGGGGGACGGGTGCAGGGAGGGTGCTAGTTTAGAAGATGCTCTCTGAAGAGCAGGGTCTTCAGGAGTTTCTTGAAAATTGAAAATTGAAAAGGAAGCCGCTGTTCTGGTAGTAAACTTTCATGCCAATGAGAATCTGAAGATGGTGTGAAGGTTTATATTACAACATCACATGTGAAATATATCAGATCAGCAATATATAAGATGTCAGCAATAACTTTATTCAATAAAGTCACAACTATAAAACCTGTTGAACCCAAGCCCCCATAATTCGGGTCTGGAAGTGAAGCCAACAAGGAAGTGACAAAAATTGCAGTTCCACCCTCATCCACTAGGGGCTGGTGTCAGAAGCGAGCAAATCCTCATTGACTCCCATGTTAAAAATACCAATTTCACAGCAGAAATAAACATGTTTACAGCCTGGTTCCAAAACATGTTTTAGGTTTAATAGATCTAGTTTGCACTTATGACAACTCTGAGGGGGGTGCATTTTTTTTGTCACTCTTCTGTTTAAGTGTATTAAATGCCTAAAATTCTGTATAATTAATGAGCATCAGACCCGCGTGACCGCAGAGCTAGCTCCAGGGAAGGGCATCAGCCTGAGCCTCGGCCTCGCCTGAAAACTGTTCCGCTATTTTTAGTCTCTCAACCTAGACCATTAGTTGTGCCGTTTGTGTGTTCTTTTTGGATATTATTTGTGCAATTGTTGGGCAAAATGACTTGCTGTGGCATTAATTGCACTAATAGAGCGTCCAAGGAGTCTCCACTTCATTTTTTTGGGTAAGTAAAATTATATTTATGTCTTTTAGGTCACTGCCGAGCTGAGCTTAGATTTTAACATGTTCTGTTTAACCATGAAATTTAAATGTAATAGGGTAAAACCCAGTGCATTTAACATAATGCTGCACTTTAGAAAATGGGTTGAAATATGACATGTTGGTGGAGCTGGGTTTATGTTTATGTATTTAGCAGACGCTTTTGTCCAAAGCGACTTACAAGTGATAATCGGCATGTTGCCCTTGAGGCTAACAACTACAACAACGACAACTTGACATCAACCATGGAGAGGAGGGAACAAGAAGTGGACAGTAGAGAGGGGGACGGGTGCAGGGAGGGTGCTAGTTTAGAAGATGCTCTCTGAAGAGCAGGGTCTTCAGGAGTTTCTTGAAAATTGAAAAGGAAGCTGCTGTTCTGGTAGTGCTTGGAAGGTCATTCCAAGCACTACCACAATAAAACTTCCACTGTTATGCTGACGATAGTCAGTTATATTTATCCATTAACCCTGATGAACCTAATCGGTTGGGTAGATTACAGGCTTGTCTTGAGGACATAAAAACTTGGATGACTCTAAACTTCTTGCTTTTAAATCAAGACAAGATGGAAGTTCTCATCTTTGGACCAGAAATCCAGAAAAGGAAATTGCTTAGCCAATCGCCTGACCATAATGGCATTACATTAATCTCCGAGAACAAAGTAAGGAACCTTGGTGTTATCTTTGACCAGGAAATGTCTTTCAATTCCCAGGCTAAACAGGTTTGTAGGATTTCCTTTTTCCACCTTCGGAAAATTGCTAAGATTAGAAGCATCCTTTCCAGGAGTGATGCTGAAAAACTAGTTCATGCATTTATTACATCAAGACTGGATTACTGTTATTCATTACTCTCAGGAAGTCCACAGAATGTAGTTAAAAGTCTTCAGCTTGTCCAAAATGCTGCAGCTAGAGTTCTGATGAGAATTAAAAACAGAGATCATATCTCTCCTGTCTTAGCTTCCCTACATTGGCTACCTGTTAAATTCAGAATAGATTTTAAGATCCTTCTTCTCACATATAAAGCTCTTAATAATCAAGCTCCATCATACATCAGTGACCTGATTGTTCCATATGTTCCTGACCGAGCACTTTGCTCTCAAACTGCAGGTTTACTGGTGGTTCCAAGAATATCTAAAAATAGGATGGGAGGCAGATCTTTTAGCTATCAGGCTCCTCTCCTGTGGAACCAGCTCCCAGCTTTAGTCTGTGAGGCAGACACTTTGTCTACGTTTAAGACTAGGCTTAAAACATTTTTATGTGATAGGGCCTATGGTTAAAATCTGATGTTAGCCTAAATCTGGACAAGTGGGGGAGTAGAGGGAGGTGGAGTGTACAGTCGGTAAAGACGGCTCTCCCTTGCCCTGCCTCCAACATGCCTCCATCCAAATAGGATAGATTATCCAGAGTTATCCCTGTAGTTATGCTGCTATAGGCTTAAGCTTGGTTTATGCTTGACGCATTCACTTTCCGCTTGGTGATGCGGTTCGCGGATTGAACGCGCTTCACAACTCGCAGCGTTTATGGTTCGTGCGGCTCGTCTCTGTGGTGAGCCAATATTCTCCCAAACTGAACGGGGCAGCATGGAGCTCTACAGCATGCATCCAACACTACACCATAGTAGAAGTAGAAATTACTGTTTACAACATGGCATTTCAGCATATTTAACAGCGTTCTCATCTTTTCCGACAGTGTGAGCTATTTCTCTCCAAGAATTATTAACAACATGTTGATCACGGTGATCTCTGAGAGCTGAATCATACAAATGTCTGTATTTACGAACCTCTGCCATACTAGTTCTTGCCGGTCCGCCATGTTTTTCCGCGTCCGTCCGTCCGCGTGGTTAGAAATTTTCAGAGGTGCGCGTTGCGGAAATTCTGGGCCGTGCAGAGGTGCGGTGGAGGGGCGTGGTTGTTAAAATGACGCAAAATGACGCAACTTTTCCGTGCGGACCTCGCGGACGCGTCAAGCATAAACCAACCTTTAGACTGCTGGAGGATACACTGACCACTTTTCACACTCTACTACTTTCTTGTACAATCTGCTCTTTAACTGTATTATTTTCTGCAATTTCAGCTGTTAACTTTATTTTCTCTCTAAGAGTTTTTCTCCCCAGAAGAAGCTACAATGATGTTCTGCTGAGCTGTGGTGGCCTCATGGAGGGGGTCATCGTCTAGCACACTGCTGCTAACCACTTAAACATTCTCCCTCTCCTGATAACTTTTTGCTTTCCTTGACGTTGGATGTGCTACTACTAGTTTACCCGTTTAATTATAGATTCACTAGGATAAATACAATAATGTTTGTCTCTCACCAAATAGAATATTTACTAAGAAATCACAATATATCTATAGACACATTACTTTGTCTTTGTGTGAGTGTGTGTGTGTGCGTGTGTGTGTGCCTGCTCTGTCTTCTCGATCCCCAGTGAGTCGTGGAGGATGGCTGCTTATACGGAGCCAGGATTCTCTGGAGGTTTCTTCCTGTTAAAAGGGAGTTTTCCTCTCCACTGTCGCTTTATGCTTGCTTAGTATGAGGATTGCTTGATGCACTTTGCTGGGTTCCTTATATAGGAAACATTATTTCTGATTGGCTTAATGAACTGACCTGAATTGGAATGTTTATTATGTGAAGTGCCTTGAGACGACTCTTGTGGTTTGGCGCTGTATAAATACAATTGAATTGAATTTAAAGGGAGTAATTGTTAAAACTGGTAAAGCTGAGCAACAACGATTCCACAGGAAAGCAGAAAGGCAAATGGGATTAAATTAAAACACCTTTCTGGATGATCAGCTCAGTGCTACGGTGGCCAGTAGAGGTTTTGCCTTTTGGACCTGGTAGAGCCACAGTACGTCCTACCCACCTGATGCTGCACAACAGGTGTTGTGCAAGAAGTGATGGTCTGCCAAACATTGATCAACCACCACAGGAGTGTGCAGTCTGGCTGAGCTGTTTTCCTCACACCAACACAGCTGCACAAGGACTTTAGCATCACCAGCTGGACATGCTCTCAGATGTGATCACTATTGGTTTTACAGACATTTGGGGTTTGGGTGTTTGCTGCACTTAATGAGATCATTAAGAGTCAGAAAACACAGGCACGATTTATTCTATTTATTCATTCGAGTATCACATGATAAAGAGACAATGTGTATTTTTACATTTAGTCTCTGAGAAAATCCATCAAAATGAATAAAATGATGCCCAGTCATTGGCGGCTTCGTAATATATAACCATAAAAATCAGGTCTAAATTACATAGGGTGCAGGTCTAGCGTTTCTGGCGGACGCCACATTAGACACCATGCTTCCTTCTGTGCCTGTCGATGGCACTAGAATCTGGGTCTAAACAACTTTACGACTTTACCACGTTCAAAAACATTTGTAGTAAGAAACATGAATTTAATAACAAAACTGCAAAACTCTTCCTAAAACACAGGGTATGTGAAACAACAGACTCAGAAAAGAGATGCAATATATTTTGGCTGAGCGGTATTGCCGTAGTATGATGATCAGCTGCAGGTGCAGGACAACGAGCAGATCCGGAAACTACAGCGCTTTTTTTTAAAACGCTATTTGTCTCTGAGCTGCATATGGATGCAAACTCAACTGCCTGCATTAGCCACAGAAAGTAAATAGACGGTAGAACAATCCAGTCAGAAAAAGCCAGCCTCCTCTACGTCACAGAGAAAATGAGCATTAATGGCTCCACCCACTTTGGCTTTGGTTTGTGGAAGGCTGCGTTGACTTTGAGAGAGCATAGTGTGCTTCAGCTAGCAGAAGCTAACATTAGCATTAGCAACTCTACAAAATGGTTGAACATGTTTGACCTTGTTTTATTTGTGGAGATAAAACATCAATGTTGCATTTTGTACCCAAGAAAGATGAACGAATGAAGGCAGCAGAAGAGCTACGTTGTTATTAGCCAATGAGAAGTGACATATTTGCACATCATGAATATTAATTAGCTGGACCTGCTTGCTGTTTTTGGCCCTCGACTCCCCTGTCCAACTTCTACCTCCTTAAACAGGAGTGCCAGGGTTTTTTCACACCAAACAACTCACACAGATGCATTGAAATAACGAGTGAATAAAACCTATAAGGACGGCCACATTGTGCTGCAAAAACAAAACCAAACTTGGACTCTCCAGCCCTGCAAAGGTAAGTGTAAAAATGTTCGTCATCAGAAAGTAAGGAAGACTTCTGAGTACCAGAACAAGGCCACTCGTAATGAAAAACATGTTTTTTCCTCATCATTCCACAAAGATCAGAACTCTGAAGCACAAACTGACAGGCCTTGGCACAAAAAGTTCTTCATTGTGCCGCATTAGAAAATATTGATTAAAAACAACTTTACTACTTTCAGATAAGTTTGCAAACAAAAACCACTAAAACCATGAAAAACCATGGAAACCAAGATTAAAACGAACAGTTTTAAAAAGAAAAATGTCTCCTTTAATTTAGTTTTGTTGATTGTAAAATGAAATCCTGCGGAGGGTGAATCATTTGGCTACCTGTGTGAGCCATAAGCGAGAAGACATCCTGCCAGTGCTGACTGACTTGTAAAGCGATGCGCGTGTGATTGTGCTGCAGGGGTAATTACATTTGCCGTAAAAGACTCAGTGGCTGTATATAAGCTCATGATTCATATGTTTTGGGAGTGAATAAGGAGCTGGAGCACCAGTAGAGAGACCAGCCCGTGTTGGGCTGATGAGAGGAGTTATGGTTCAGTGTTTCTTTGATGTTATTACGGGGGAGAAATTCACTCACCCTGTGGCTTAGCGTCATGCAGCAGCTTCCGATCTGCGGACAGAAATAAACACAATCATTTGAGAGTTCCTTCGCAGCGTTTGTAAAATTGTTGGTTGATTCAAGTCATTGCTTGAGCATGCATCCATGCCTGAGCACACTGCGCCTGAGTGAATGAGTAATGAAGATGGATGGAGTTGTTTTTAATGAGCATGATTATAATGACGACCATGATCTCGCCTGCTCTGCCAAACATGAACATTAAATCCATAATGGACACAATGCATGTGACAGTAATGAGGCTGAACTTATTTACATTTTGAGCCGGCGATAAAGAAAGGGATGCTACCCACTCTGCGTGCACAGGCCGCCTGTGCAGTTCTCTGCAGCCGCCGCCACGCCGTCACACAGTCGACCGCCGTGTTTGGGCTCCGGCGCTGTGCACTCTCTGCTGCGCTGCCTCTCGCAGTCTGAGCTACACACAGACCACTCGCTCCACTCCCCCCATCCGCCATCCACTGCGGGATCAAACAAGCCTTTTTTATTTTGCATAATAAATTGCCGGAGCACAAGCACACACAGGAAATTATGCGGCTCTGGAAAATTCAGCAAGGAGGCTTTGCCTTTTCCTCCCGTACAGCACCTAGTCCGAGCTGATTAATCTACATGTAGTTTGGAACTTTATGAAAACATTTTCAAAGCAACTGTTGCTCGGCTCACAGGAGCTTCATCCTGCGTGAGTCAAAATATGTTTGCACCCTTGTAAGCTCGGAGCACAGAGTCCATGTTTATGCCATCCTCAATCAAGTCTCCTGTCCACCTCCAAAAGCTGTTTTTGCTCTTGTCCTCTTGCTAAGGCGTCCTGTTTACGTTTATGAGTCATTCAGAAGAAAAAGCGCACTGCCACCCCTGATAACAGATTCTCTTCAAACTTATAAATGTTTTTATCCAAGCCTTGCAGTGGTTGAAATCATACGTTTCTTGTTTAAAAGCACTCCAGTCAAGACTGCTCCATAATTTAGATTGCCAGATGACTGCTGCCCTGATCTCTCTTTTCCTCACAAGTTAGGCTACGCATGTTTGTCTTCCTCTCCTTTTTGAGGCAAACCTCTTGATTTCTGAAAGATATTGTCCTCAACTGCATCTCAGTTCAGGCACAGGCTGGTGTCACAAGTTCAGGGCTGGTAAATAGCTACAAAAACTGTCTGAATATCCACAACTGGCCTCTTCTACCCTTCAAGACTCTATTAAATGTCAGCGTTAAAATAACCTTGTGGAGTTTGACTACAACAAAATGCTGACACTGAGAATTCTGGGGTGTCGGCTGCCAAAAAGCACTATTTAAAAACAAAAAGTGGACTTAATTTTATCATTATTTGCTTTCCTGCTAAAACTTTCTAATAATAAAACTGACAACAACCTTGTGTCTATCCGTCTGTCTGTTGGAGACAGCCAGCCAGCCTGGGTATGTCTGACTTCTGTAAAATCAGCAGTTTGTGGTTTAATGGGGAGTTTTGAGCAGTGCTGATTCTCAGCCACGCAGCTACAAAAACTATTTGGAGAAAACTAAGAGTTGTTTGATGGTGCTGAGTTTGTTTGGTTGAATTTATACAGATTAAAACCACCCCCAGAATGTGCGTGGGTCTTGGTTGAGTAGCCCTGTTGGACACAGATACAGAACCTTTGGTGTTGGTGTTGGTCGGCTCTGCGTGCCGTAAATGCTGATTATATCTGAGTCTGTGCTGCTGTAGGAGCAGATAACTTCACATGGAACTTGTGCTTCACTGGACAAACACGGTCCAGCATCATGTGAGTCACCTTCTTCACCAAGACTTATGTTTCATTGTGTTAATAAAAAATATTCTGAGATTAACTACAAAAAAACATGAAAAGGTGGTAAATGACTTCATGTTTTCACCTGTAAATCAAAGACACTTTATATACAGTAGGGATGTAAGAAAATATCGATATGGAAATATATTGCAATATTTTTTTCCTGCGATATTACATTGATATTCAAAAGTGGTGTATCAAATTTGTGGAAGAAATTACATGCAAAAGTTTGTGTATTTTCTTTTCTTTTGCTGTAATTCAAACGCCAATGCTAGTTGGCAGCAGTGTGCAATGGGTTTTATTTCCACCGTCGAAATGTAAATCCCTCTGTTATGGTTCAGATACCTCAAGGTAAACATGTTAAATATCAGATTGGACTGTTTATTGAATTTTCCTACAGTAAATTCAGTCTACAAAAAAAAAATCACTGATATTGTCTGGCTGAATGTGCGATGATACGATATATATTGTAATATATCATATCATCCTCCTGTATTGCGATACATATCATATCGTCAGAATTTCACCAATTCACATCCCTAGTATACAGTATTTAACATTAATATATATATATAAATATATATATATAAATATATATAAATGTATATATATATAAATATATATAAATATATAAATATATATATATATATATATATATATATATATATATATATATATATATATATATATATATAATTTATAGATGTGATTCTCTGTGTATTTTATTGTTTTGGGAGACGTGTTTTAAAGGATTCCTGGACATTTAGATTGTTTAAGTTTTACCCATCTTTGCTAGAGGTTGGCCAATATTGTTTTTTCTATTGCCGATGACAATATGCATGGTCAGCCAATTCTTTAGGCTGATATCTAGATGATTTCTGCCCTTTTTATGAAGATGAATCCGTTTTTGAACTCTACATTTAACAAACTGTTAAAACTTCATTTGATGCACTACTCAGTGTTAAAAATCTAACTAAAACTAATCAAACAAATCAATTAATAGACCAAGTCTTAACTATTCAAAACTAATATTTAAAAATAAATTACAGTTGAAAATACTTTTTAGGGCATTTATTATGCAGATGTTCAGGAAGGTAAATGTAGTTTTAAATTTAATTCTGCAGCAGCATCGGGCTGCCTGGGGATGTGCCCGATTTTAAATCAGCTTTTCTAAGAAGGTATCGGTCTACCCCTAATTGGAACAAAAGTCCTACGGCTCTAGAGTTTTCCCTACCTGATTTCACTTGGATAAAGCCCAGTTCACGAGGTCTCTTAAATTGTTGGGCCATTTTCAAGCATGTGTGGTCTCTAATGTTCTGAAAATTGTCTGACAATTTTAAAATCCTGCTTTGTGAACTTGGCCTTAGACTGTGATAACTTGTGGGGTTGTTCTGGTTCTCAGTAGCTTAGTTAGCATGTTGGACTGGTGAATGGATATGGAGGCTAGAGGTACAGGCTCAAAGATTCTATGGAAGGCTGGTCTGGTCCCTGTTCTTCTGTTCTCATGTGTGCTCCTCAGTACTTCCACTCTTTCTGCTGGCTGAACCATTACAGCTGTAAGTTTAATTAGTGTTTTGTTTCCTTATATAATATTTATGTTGAGAGAGTTCTAGATGTAGTTTGTATTTTGGCGTGGAGGAAAGGAAAGGTCAGAGCCTTCCTCCAGTTTTGGTTTATTTCATACTGTTTTAGGAAGTAGGGCATAAACCAGGAAGAAAATGCCATTCCCCACAGTTCTTGGTTCTGTGAGGTTTCCTCTGACAGGCTCTAGTGAATGGGTGATTGTGCTGGTGTTACTGCCTGGAATCGAAGGGTTACTAGTTTAGCTAGCGCCACCATTTTCTGTGTGAAATCAAAATGCAATGAGCATTGCATGCTTCTCCATCTGATGTGCACAAATAAAAACTGCAGGTTGTTTTGGGAATTAAACACCTGTAAGAAAAAAAATCCCAAAGGGCCAATTAGTCCAGACACATCCCTTCTTGTCTTTGTCAGAACCAATGAGCCTGGTTGTGATACTCGTACTGTTGGATCCTTTGGATTCACGATGGGGTGCAGGGTGTTGCCTCCACAGACTTTACTTGTTCCAGTCCATCATGCCTGATCGCATTGGGATCTGGAGAGTTTAAAGACTTAACGTCTTTGACACTTTGCTGTGTTGCTTGATCCAGAGCTGAGCCAGCTCAGCAACAAAGTTTAGGCGAGGCAACACCCACATGCTCACATAAGTGTCTAAATCCACTGATTCCCAGCAGGATAGAACTGCAAAAAAACAGTGTTACGCCTGTCAGTGGTTTTAATGTTTTGGCTTATAGGTGGCTTGATTGAAACAAAATGACTTACTACTATTACTACTAGTACTACTACTACATATTCAAAAATGAAAATACCAAGAGCATATACGTGGTATAATCCATGCTATGCACTATATTAGAGGCTTAAACTTTCAATAAATTATATGTAAATAAAATATTGTTGTGTACAAAACACCATTGTTCTTCATTTCCAAAACATGCGTACGTTTATGAAAACAAAGTGAATAAAAACACCATTTTAAACAGAGTTTTGTTACGTTTTCTGCGATGTTTGAATCCAAAATGGTTTTCCTTACGTGTTTTGGTGCCGTTTTGATGGATAAATAATTCAGAGGTCAGTGTTCAGTGGTTTAACATACACTGCTGCCAAGATGGCCTGGTACACCACCGGGCTAAAACGAATAAAAGGCTGTCAAATTCCCGGGGTGACGTAGGACTAAAAATGCTGAATAAAGCTATGAATTTTGGATCTATGGAATATAAAAAGGACAAACAATCACGGCATGAAGGCTAAAAGCTCGCCGCTACCTGGACACACGGTGTTGCATGGGCTCTTCTGCGACGGCGTTCCCTCGCAGAAGGCTCCTCCGTTTAGGGGAGCTGGATTGGTGCACGTTCGAGAACGTTTCTGCACACCTCGACCACAGTGCACGCTGCAGGGGGACCAGCCTGTCCACGACGACCAGCCTCCATTCACTGAGAGGGTCAAAGGGGTGAGAAAACACAACAGGAATGAAAACTGGATTACACGGTGTGTGTGTGTAACAAGATACTTCAGTTTCAGGATGGTGGCATTGGGCTGAGCCAGAGGTGTTCTAAAATAATACAACATGACAGGTAAATAAGCTCACTGGCCTTCACAGGAGTAGAAAAACGCTATTATTCAGTTGAGTACATTTGTTTAAGGTTACTGACAGTAGTAAACCTGTCAGAGACTTTATCACCATTATGTAAATTGATTGATGGGACTTGGCAATTTAGTTTCTAGAAAATCAGATGTATTCCTGCTGCAGTTTAACACCCTCTCTGAATAAATAGAAAAGCATGACAGGAGGTCAGTGAAATGAGTATGGAAACACTCCAATCAAGGCTCCGCTTTAGTGAAAGAAAAGTGTTGCAGCCGTGACATTATAATTTCACCCTCTACAGGGCCATAAAACGCTGGGAAACATTGTTTGGTGGCCTGCAGCAACAGCGTGTATTTAACGCTGGCAGATAAAAGCAGGACCACACTGTGGCTTTTCCATCATTAATAATGAAGTTCTTGTAAATATCGTGCCTGGCTCTTCTTGTTTAACACAAAGGATCATTGGCCCATTACCTGTTCATTAGAGTAAAAAATGAGAAAAACGGCCCTCTGACGCTCTCTGCTTTAACTCGTCAGGGAGGAAGGCTCAACACCGTGCTTTGAGGAGAAGGATGATATTTCTACCCGGGAATTCAACATCTTCTTGCTTTTGTACACTGTAAAACCATTAAAATCCTCTGCAGAGAGAATAAAACCCTGGAAGGACGTCTCACCATAAACCACAACCACAGCTGTGGCACTGCGCCTCTTAGCCACGATGTTGCTGGCTGCGCAGGTGTAGTTCCCCGAGTCAGAGAGACGGGCTTCTGAGATAATTAGATCATGGTCCCCTCTCGTGTTACTCATGCCGTCATCGCCAAAACTCAAGGGCTCATCATTTTTCAGCCATTCCACCTTAAAAAAGCAGAACATGTCACGTTATTCCAGGTTAAATGTGAGAAATCTCACACCAGTTGTCATCAGCGCTAAAACGGTTCCAACACTAGCAACTTTTTCCTGAGCTGCGGTAACACTTCTGTGCAGAGACCTCTAATATGACACATCTCTGGAGGTTTTCATGAAATTAAAAAGTATTATTATCCACATTCTCTTTTAAGTGCATATGCTTAAGAAGCCTTGGCTTAGTTTCCTGCCATCACACACAATTGTGAAAAAGTGGGATGCTCCTAAATGTGGACAACTTTCAGAGTTTCATGGCATTATCAGTTTTATGTACAGGAAATGGCAATGTCATAAGCTATTTTTTATTAATACAAAATTACAACAGTTTACTTAAAAATGTTGTTTTGGTCAAAATGAAATAAAAGTGATTTCTAAACCTTTGAAAAAGTCACTGTTTTCTTCTTTGTTGCATCATTATTTCTCACAGTTTGGAGAAGATATGAAACAAGCTTCTGCAGTTTTGAAAACAACATGATGATCTAGTCATGTCCGGCATGAGATGACATCTGCTCAAACTGAGGTCCTCCGTTGTCTTCTTTTTTTGTTTAAACCACATGTTTTCAGGGAATGACGGGTCTGAACCGTGAGCTTAGAGCCTGGAATGTTCTACCAAAGAGCCACAGTTGTCATTTCTGCAGAACGGGATTTGGAATTGTCTGATGAAACAACCCGAACCTTTTCTAAAAACACGTTTTTGTCTGTGTGCATCTATGTGATCATTTCTAAGTTAGCTAACTATCTCCTATAGCACTGGGCAGATTTTAGAAGTTGACTAGATGCTGACTGAAAACTGATAAACTTTTGACATCCACCACATTCAAGATGGCTGCTTTTGAACAGAATTCCCCAAACCCACAGTGGAAGCATCAGCAGCGCAGAATGGCAGCAGAATGTTGCTGCTTCAAATAGAACACTGTAAAGTCTATCGCAGGAATGTCCAAACTTTTCAAGACGAGGGCCAAAATCATGAAGTTAAAACTCCTCACAGGCCACAAAAATAAAATACTTTTAAAAAATGCAAACATTATTTTATATTTTTTATTTGTTCTGTTCAAAAAAAGGCCTAAATAGATATATTAGTAAAAATGTGAACATAAAATTCACAATTCTAAAAACGCTAGAGGGCAACGCAAAATCACTCCGAGGACCACAAATGGCCCCCGGACCCTACGTTGGACACACCTGGTCTATAGGGGTGAGCTAAACTGGCAGCAGTGTGGAATATTTGAGGCGTATCCCAGAAGCGGCTCTTGCACCATGCCGCTAAATAGTTTTGGGATCTATTTTTCCCGTTAGTCGCTTCTGCTTCGGCTAGACAGGAAGTCAGACATGAGTTAAGTGTAAATTTTCTGGTAATTTTCAAAATAAAAGACTATTGCAGAGATGAGATTTCTCATCTATGTAGATGATGTCATAAATATGTGAATGTGACCTAATGGCATATTTGCTTCCAGCATCTTTTGGGAAGTGCAACGGTGTGTTTTTATGGCTTGAATCTCTTCAGTGGAGAGAGACGTTATATACGACATCAAACAGTGATATCAAATGTGTTCTCCTTCTTCTTGGTTTAATGGTGTACGGCATAAACAAACTGTGACCTTTGGAGTCTTGAGGGGTTTTGTGATCTTGCAGGTCTAGCGATGAGGATGGCGGAGAAGCCGCAACGCAAATGAGATGCTCCCCCGGGTTGGATTGAGGCACCGCAAAGCAGGTGAGTAAACTGTCCTGCTGCCGTTCTGCGCCGCTGATGCCTCCAGTGTGGATTTGAGGTAAAACTTTATTGTCCACCACAGTGGATATTTTTCTTTTGCTCCCCAGGACAAAACAATTAATGCATGTTGTGACACTATGTTATGGTTTAATCTCATAGTTTACACTGGTTAAGTATCATTACAACACTGGGAACAAATGGTCAGTAGAGGCACCCTGTAATGCCTTCTAGGGCTAGGCAATGTGGCCGAAAAATCAATATCAGGAGATTTGAGGATATCACCTCGATAACGATAAATGGACGATAACTACAGGTATGCGCAGAAGCAAAAGTTGTCCACTAGATGGGGCTGTCACATGTATTACGTTGAGTCACATTTTTACGTGACTCAAGGTGGTACAGCTTCTTACAGGGACATGAAATTGGCTTACCTGCACACATCTTTTTATTTTTTAATAATCAAATTTATTGACATGGGAAAAATAATCTCGATAAGAGTCAGAAATTTCGATAACAAAAAAATTTCGATTTATTGCCCAGCTCTTCCAAGGGCTCAGTTGTTCGAACTGAGAGGAAAAGAGAGGATGACTACTGTCCGCTACAGTGTTCCTCGCCCTTTCAGCAGCCAGATAGGATGTGTTTTTTTTTAAGTCTGTCAAGTGTTTTTGTCAGCCCATGAAAAAAATGAAAAAGTTTGTCCTTGGATCCACAGCTTACATGACCAAACCAGGCCAAGAGATGTAGAACGAAAACACTTTTAAGAGTTTTATGTCGGTTTTGATTGGTTATACATATTGTATATGAGAACAGTCGTTTGACTAACTGTTTAAACTTATTTTTACGTTGGTTTTTTTATGCTATCCATCTGCTGTTCTTTGGTGTAAAGCTAATTATGTGTCTATTCAGTTACTGCTGCCTCTTGGCCAGATCATTGGCCAGATCATCGTCGTAAATGAGAATGAGTTCTCAATCAATTCATCTGGCTAAATAAAGGTTAAATAACTAAAATAAATAAGTTGCTTTATTAAAGAAGCTCTGAAGTTTGCTGGCCTACCCGTAAACTTCTGAGCTTCTTTAGAAGGAGATCAGCATTAGCTGCGTATCTACTCTACATAGGGTAGATTCTGGGAGTGGGGCAGGTTGCTTGGTCCTCTCAGCCATTGTGTCTGTTGTGTGAGACGCACACCGTGAAGGTCCGGAAGTTGGAAACGGGCTTGTTAGCAAACATTAAAATAGATACAGCTCAGTTTTACAGATTCTCAGCAAAAATGTGGCCGTGAGTCATTTAGTACACATAATCCATGTGCTGACAGGTTGTGTGAGAGGTTGGGATTGAGCAGGGCATTACCATGATTTATCCAAAACGGCAATTTCCATCCCTTCTCAGCAAAGATAATGGAGATACTCATTCCTTCAAGGAATGGCAAGCTTTTAATTGTAGTGATGCTTTTTATCGTTTAATTTTAGATTTGGAACTCCGTGTGTTTTCAGCTCATCTGCTTCTCATCCAGTAATCACCCCGCTCTAGTCATCTAGTCCTTGGTGTCTTGGCTCTTTTGCAGTTCCTGCTGTTGCTCTGTGCCACCCGTTTGGTTGGTTTAGGGCTAGGCCAGCATTTTTATATTCATTAAAGTTTTATTTTTTCTTCAAGTTACCTTGTCTGTGAGCGTATACACATAAACACACACTTATGAAGATTCCTCAAAGTTCCAGTAAAACTCAGGCCTTCGCAGACATACTGAGTGTATTTTCATAAGAACACTTATGCAGAATTACAGACTGATCAACTTTTTTTTTCTATACCAGAGTTTTACTATGACTTTTTGGATTCACTGACGAGCAGTGTTCACTGACAATAGTTTTCAGAAGAGTTCCTGAGCCTGCTGATTTCCACCACAGGATGCCTATTTTTAATGCAGCACAGCCTGAGGGCTGAAAGATCACGATATTCACCGTTGGCCTTCGGTCTTAACACCTGCCTAGATGATAAAATCCCAAAGTTCTTTGTAATTTTACAAAGAGAAACACCAACAGTCAATTTTTGAACTATCATGGTCTTTCACAACATGTCGAATCTCTCCCAGTTTTTACCTTTGAATGCTTCTTGAACACATTTTGTATTCATCTTAATAATAATACCTTTCAGGAATTATATAATATACATAATTATATCATATACATATTCAAGATTCAAGAGATTCAAGGTCCTTTTTTTGCCGTTGCACAGGTGTACAATGAAATTGACTTTGCACTCATTAAAGACAGCTCATGTAAGGACGTAGTAAAATATCAGTAAAATAAAATAACAGGGCTAAAATAGAAGTCACGCATGCTATCTCACCCCCCCCTCTCTCTCTCTCTCTCTCACACACACACACACACACACACACACACACACACACACACACACACACACACACACACACACACACACACACACACACACGCACGTGGCTAAAGGAGTGCATTCTAAAGACGGTTTCACACTGCAAGTATCAGCGGAATGGAACTGCAGCGAAGCGGCACCCCTTCAAATATAATCCAATTATAATCTATGGAGTGTTTCAAACTAGCCGCGACGCGGCAATTTTCAGGCGCGCATGATAGGATTGAGTTCTATTTTTTCCGCGAGCCACTTCTGGGACACGTCAATTTCCGCAGTTCACATAGTGCGAGACAGGAAACCACAAGGTTTCAGTGTAAAATCCCCGGTTATTTTCAAAATAAAATGCAACGTTGCGATGTTATATATAACTTAGGCCAGTACGTGTGACCGAACGACTTTGTTTACCACCAGTATCTTTCGAGAAGTGCAACGGTGTGATTCCTCGCGAGGGGTTGTGATGTCGCAGATGAGGAAGGTATCGGAAGTCTCGGGGGATTTTAGAATCTCGCGGGTACAGCGAGGTGGAGCGAGGAAGCCGTGCCGCGGTCAAGACTCTCCCGGTGTGAAAAGAACCACTTTGAAGTTTGCGAGTGCGCCGCTCCGCTGCTGTTCCATTCTGCTGATGCTTGCAGTGTGAAACCGTCTTTAACGAGAGGCTTTTGGCCGGAAATATGGAAGTGAAAACCACGTCTTAGTGTAATACTCTTGCCAGCCACTAGATTGTGTCGTCAGATAAAAGAAATAATCCCTATTAATACAAGAAATGCTATCACTAACAAACTGGAGCAAAACATAAGGGTATTTAGCGCCTGGCCAATGATATTGCCCTGTCCTGGGTAAAACAACTGCTCCACC